CTAGCAGGAGCGTTGTCTCTAATCTGATCCTTCTGTTCGTCATTAGCCATCTATTCTTCTTTCTTTCCCACAGACGGCGCCAAATTGTGTGGGTGATTTTCCGACCACACTGCCCGCTTAGTAACCAGCTGGAGAGCACTGGCAGAATAGATGGCACCTGACTGACCTGCAACAGAAATATAAGCATCCCGCGGTGGTTTCGACCACCCGGGGGCACTCCGACGATCAAGTCAGTATATCTCTCAAAGATAAATCAAGTACTAAACTCACAAGCTTGAGTATCAAAAGCATACCTTAGACCTATGGGGGTGCCTCTTATTTATAGCCAACTCAATCCTAGTCCCAATGGAAGCCTGACTTCTATGGACTCAGGATTACTGCTTATCTGGGACTCCCAGTGGAGTTAGGACAAAACTCTCTAAGAGTCTTATCTTTACCCAAACTAGAGTCTTCTCCCAATCTAGGACTCTTGTCCATATCCAGGTTGAGTTCCCTCTTCCTTCTAGGACTCTCATCCCTTATCTGCTTATCTCGAATTCCGATATCTTCGGAGGTAACCTCGGCCTAGCCGAGATGCCTCGGCACAACGACCAAGACACGTGGCACGTCGGCTGACACGTCGGCGTCACCTTGCCACGTGTTGGTACTCAGAAAATATATCCCCACAGTAAATATAATCAACTTTTTTGTAATCAGACTTTTTTAACTTGGCTTTTTAGTCTTGTTTGGTTTTTATTTTGGGACTTTTTTTACTTTTGTAAGAGAAATTTTTACTTTTGTAAGAGAAAAAATGTAATAATTATGGGTAAAATATAATATTTTGTCTTATTAACTATTGCAGGCAATTTTATCTTTTTGTGATTATTTAGCCCCAACATGAATGCCAAATTGGGGCTTAGTTTAGATTATTTTTTTATATTTCAATAAATCTTTTAAGTGACATAGTTACCAAAATATCCCTAATAATATTTACATTTACAATATGAATGTTCCATAATGTGAATGTTCACACCATCAATATGAATGTTCACATCATCAATTTGAATGCTCACATGCCAATGGAAATCTTCACATTATCAATGTGAACATTCACACGTCAATATGAATATTTACATTGTAAAATATGAATGTTCACATTACCAAATTGCTAATCGTTTAAAAAATATTTGTAAAAGTAGAAATATTCATAAAATACTTTAAATATGATAATTATGATTTGGTAAATCAAATGTTCAAATAATATGATTTATTAAAATACAAGAATATCTTATGAATTAATTGGGATACAAACACTTGAAAAATGATTTTCTAATAAACCTACCATGACCAAAACCATGATTTTTTTTTATTTTTTTTGAATATTCTAAAAAATTAAACTATTTATATTATTTATATAAATAATCAACTTTTCAAACTATTTCTCAAATTTCACATCTTGAACATGCGATTTTATATTAATATGATCCACATCTACACACTAGTAAGTTAAGTCAATATGAAATCGAATCTTACATCTTGAACATGTGATTTTATGATAAAGTCGTATTTTGAACTTGCATTTTAAAAAAAGTAAATTAGTTTGATAAATAATTTAAAAAGTGAGTTATTTTGATATATAATTTTATTTTTTAAAATATTTATTAAAAAAAAAAAGTTCCAACCGTGACCAAACTTTTTTTTTTTTTGAAAAATAAATTTATTCATACTTGTTGAGTGTATATAAACGCAACACAAAAACATATGAATCATGGTTGATATAAAAAACAGTGTCATATTCAAAAAGTTTATTGATTTTATTTGAAATTGTAAACTCTGCTAATTTAATTTACATCAATCAAAAAGTGTGCATTATTGAAGTGTGAATAAAATTCACACTTGATTTTTTGAAAGTTATATTTGTATTTTGATGTAAAAAAAAAAAACTCGTTGTGGTGTTCACAAAAGCATATTTTTGTTCTTATTTTGTTTTTCTTTTCTTTTAGTAAAAAATTTTATATGCAACCAACAATGCCAAAGTCCGTCATTAATTTCCAGGAAAATATTATGCTATGGTTTGATTTTCATAGAATTTTAGTGCTTTTGGTGAGATTATGAAAAATATTTGACTATAAAATGAACCATTGAATATGAAAAGACATAAATCGTTTTAAAATTTTGGACCAAATCCATGAGAAAAAAGTAATAGTTAAAAAAAAAATTATGAATATGAAAAGACTCAAAAGTCATTTTTGAAGTTTTGGACCAAATTCATGAGATAAATGTAAGAGTTCATTAAAAAAAAATTCACAAAAAAGAAGAGAGAGAGAGAGAAGATTCAAATTATATATGTATTCTTGAAATAAAAAAAAATTCTTTTATCATAAAAGTGTCCAGAGTTTCACTTCATTTAGTTCTTAACTACTTAATCACTAGCACATATCAAATAATTAATGGATAAAAATCTGATGAATTTTGGGAAACAGAAAAGTTTAATGACTTCATTGTATTTTACATTGCATCATCAAAGGATGCATTCCAATTTTGGGCAACTAGGCAATTGAGTAAAGTTAAAACATCTTTCTAATTGAAGAACAATGTCACAAAATATTGAATAATACCACTGCATCCATTACCAGCCGAATTGCATTTTTTTTTTTATAAAAAATTCTAGGTATAGGTATTGTTTAAGGTAGAGGATATGACAATTACTACAATAAGTGAATTCATTTATTAAAAAACTGTAATTGGTTTACATCTCGTACAAATGTTCGAAGAATATTTTGTCTTGTACAAAAAAATTAGAAAGATGCTATGTGACAGATATTGAATTTGAAAGAGAGGTTCTCAATTTCTCAAAAATTTCCTCCATGCATACCAAAATCCTCTGTCTCCGTCTCTCGTCTCAAACCATCTTTCTACCATCACATGATCATAGTCCAATGGACTAATCGTATGATAGAGAAATGGTTTAAAACAAAAATCAAGAAAAAATAGAGAAGGAAGAAAGAATCCTCTGTCTTCATCTCTCATGTCTCAACCCATCTCTCTATAACAAAGAGATTCGTCGTGTGGTAGAGCTCGTTTAGAACAGAAACAGAAAAGAACGGAGATAGAAGAAAGAATCCTCGAAATTGCAAGAATGTTCATATGGAAAAATAAAATAAAATGAATTACAGAAAAAATAAAAATACCCCAAGATTATATCGACAATGTTAAACTCTTGATTAGAATTGTATTGAAAAAACTCAATTATTGACAATCTTAGCGCACATTAGCAGCAACCGATCTAGCCCAAAACTTGATCTGTGCCTTCATGTCCTCTCTTGATGAGTTCTTCTTATCAAACCAATTTGGAATTGGAGGAGAAGAGCTATGTACCATCCATGACTCAGATAGATATGGCTTCCTTGCCTTGTCTTCATCGAAATACGCTCTGTTCTTCTCTTGCAAACCTGGAATTATGTTGACTACACTTGGTTTCAAATCTTTTTTGTCGAATTTGAATCCCAAGTCCTTGAATCCTTGCAATTGTTTGGATTCAAGATCATTCATGCTCTTCTTCATCTTTGTTTGGTACCTCATTTCGTTACATGCTTCCATGTTTACGCTTTCTAGTTCTGGGTTTTTTCCTGGGTGATGATGCCTGCTAGAACTTTGTTTTGTCCCCTGAAATTCAAATTTAAGTTATTATTAGCAATGAAAGTTTGTGTATTAACTTGAATTATTGTATCATTTAACCACAAATGCATATATTTGATTTGTAAAACTCAATACTACATTATTGAGCTTAAAGAAATTATAATACTTCAAAACATGTCACAATGGCAATATGTTGAAAGTTTTTAGCAATACAAATTGTGTAGTTTTAAGGTAAATTCACCCATATTTTGGCTTGTCTAATTCAATTTTTTTTATTTTTGTACAAGAAGGTGTGTATATATATATATCTATAAGTCAAGATCTTCAAATTCACTGTCCTTATGATCCATATAGAGTCGAAGATTATATAAATTACCTTTGAAGTATGCCTAGGCGGCAACACATCCGAGGGGTACTTCAGGGAAGCTTGCCTAATCAACTTGCTCATAGAAAATTCACTTTCTTCATCTTCTTCCCTCCCAATACAAGGTGGCAAAGAAGGTGTCCGGAGCAAGTTGTGTTGTGACTGTTGACACCTCATTTTCCCCCCATCTCCAAAAGATTCAGAGCGCGACGACGGTGCTTGTGGGGTAGGCTTCCTCATGCCTTTGAAATCACTTTCTTTTTCTTCACTCCCCTCATCCCTCAACACACAACATGGCAACGATGGTGTCCTAATCAAATCAGGACAAACAAAACCATCACCTTGAGATAGTTTCTTGATTGATGATGATGAAGACTTCTTGCCACTGGAGTTCTTAACCAACATCTCTTGGCCATAGATTGAGGAAGGACAAGGATCACAGTAACATCTCAGCAGACTCTTTGTTTTCCTATCAAGCAAATTTCCAAAGAACCAACATTCTTCCAAGAGGTCCTCTGCTGCATCAACTTTCTCATCTCTGATATTAGAAGAGGACTCAAAAGGTTCATCAATATGGTCCATAATTGCACACAATTTTCTCAACTCAAGAAGTTAGAGAAGAGACCCACATGGGATATCTTGGGGTTGTTATCTTTTATATTTGTTATCTATAAAGATGAAGCTGTCTATGGGCAGACTATGAAGCCATATAGGGTTGGACATCATGTGCTCTATGATTGATAATACCCATTTAATATTATGTGGAGATGAGATCATGTAAGGTGATTGATTGATGAAAAATAGGTTCAGAATTTTTGTTATCAATTTTTTTTTCATCCTACTATCGCAATGCATTCTCAATTATTGAATTATGTGAAAAATTGAAGGTACTAAAATTTTAAGATACAATCTAATGGTTGAGAGTGTATTAAAATAAGACGACAGAAGGGTTTGAGGACAGAAAATTTCGTGCCAAAAACAAATAAAGACCGCCGGGGGGGTGGTGGTGGGGAGAAATTTGAAGTGGAAAGCATTTAATTGTAACTAACTGGGGAATATGAGGGAGGGATAAATTGGTTGGAAGACCTGTAGGGGCATGACTTATCTCATGCCAGCACACTGCCCATGTGAGGGTTCTTTCTTTTATAAGCCATATGATAGATATCATGTAACCGAAAAGGGTCATTTTTTATATTGGTTTTTCTTTTGAATTATGGGACAGCTAGGGCTAGAGCTGTCTAAGATTTTGGGACAAAAAAACAAAATAGGTATTATGTGATGTTTGTCAGCTCTAATGAAGCTAACTGACAAATACGAGTGGGAACAAAAATATTCACTCATACATACCCACCATAAGTGAATTCAATGAATCAAGTATTTGTAAGGCTTGTAGTATCTATCTTCAAATCAATTAAAATAAATAGGCAAAAAAGCCAGAAAAAACAAAATCTAAACAATAAATTCCTAGAAGGTAAAATATTAAAAAATCAGAGCATCATACACACCCACTATAATAATCATCACACATGTAGTGTGATATAGACCCTTTTCACTATTCTCCCCCAATCTCTCTGCCCTAAAACTTCAACTCCATGGTGAAGCTACCCTTCACTATCAGTAGGTTTATCGAGTGCAGAATCATGCTTAGCTTCCATGACTCCGACACCAAATTATCAACCATGGAGATATACTAAATTATCAGCATCCAAAAAAGATTATTGAATAGGAAATACAATGATTTATCAAGAACACAATACAGATGCATACTTCAAGGAAGAGATGGTTCAATAAAAAAATAACTCAGCTGAGATTGCTACAGTTGACTGCTGGCACTACAGGGCAGTGCCTCACCCCGCACTGCAAGCTGACTTGCAGTAGCGTTCATGGTGGTGAACGTGCTTGACGGTGGACCAGATCTCAAAAACTCGCGTGAACAGAGGTGCAAAGCCTACAGAGGCAAAGAACTCAGAACCCTACATGCATTTTCAGATTAGCTTTAATTCATAGAACTCAAAGCTTAGAAGACCAGCATTTTCAGATTAACTTCTATGCAGCAAGTCAAAAATTGGAAGACTGTCAGTAAGAAATGCAAAGAAAAAAGCAACCCCTTTTGTTTGTTGCTCATGTAAAAACTCAGTTGAAATGAATTCGGAATGACAAAATTTTGATTTTTTACATCTCTTGGACCACATATATTATATATATCACGCCTAAATTCCGCAAGGACATCAAAATTGCCAAAGGCGAAGCGAAACGTTGCTGTGACAACATCACATCAATCCGAAGGCTTCTTGGTCATTACTATCCACTCTATAAGAGAACAAAGGCATAAAGTTTTGAATTTACAGTGAAAAGAAACATTCTTGCCGGAGTCTACAGGGGACAGCACGCCGTCTCTGTAGATGAATTTCAAATCAAGGCCATGTTGGGTATTTAGAGAGGAATTTGCTCTCGCAGTCGCACTCTTCTTGCTTCTTGAATGACAGCTACATTCCATCAGCATCACTGGTCTATCTTGTGAACCCTTACATTGACATGTGTCCATCTCCAGATATTCAACCAATTTTCTTGTGGTGTCATGTTCTTTGTCGAATAATGTGCATGAGCTTTCGGCACCACACAATTTCCTTACTGCTGAATAGAGATTCACTGATAATGCCGAGACCATAGTATGGACATCCTCCACCGTGCAATCACTCTCTTTCAATCCCCATTCGTAAATGAGAATCTTCTGCATTGTGTCATGAAGGTTGAGTAGGCATTCAGAGCAACATTGATAAAAGCACACAACCCCAGAATCATTATGATGACCGGTGATGTTGCTGGAAGAGAAATTGGTGTGCACATTGCGTTCATCATCAGAACTTGGCTTGCCATCTTGAGATTGAATACCAGTCTTCTTTGTCAAACCGTTTTGCTGATTGTGAGCTTCTTGGGAGCTAGAGGGATTAACACCACCCAGATCATCACCTGATGAACAAGGGCCATCCCCAAGAAGGGTGGCAGAATCTGAATGTGCAAATCCATTAGAATATCTCGAAGATCCAAAGTTTCCATCGACACTTGAATAATTACTGGGATTCTCTGCCCTACTTGGTTCGGGATTAATCCCATTCTGTTCATTCAATGGTTTACCACCCAATGGAAGAGCAGCGTCTGAAGTCTGAAAATGCAAATCAGGGAGCGGGGCAGGGGCAGGGGCAGAATGTTCCAAAACCAATTCCTGTGGAAGCCCTTCTGTAACAACTCTTCCCTCGGAATTTGGATCAACATCCCCTGCTTCTTTGTTTAAATCAAATCTTTGTGGATTTCCTTCAATCACTTCAAGTTCAAGGGAGCTTTTCATAGATACATCTAGCTTGCACCCATCATTTCGAGGTATATTATCTTCACATCTCTTATGATTATCAAGAGATCCCGTTAACTTCAGGGCTGGCATCGTGGTTTGAGCATCGACATCCAAACTGAAATGCAGGGAATTCTTGTCAGATAAAAAGTACATGATAATGAACCCAAAGCACTAAACACTAAAGGTGTGTTTGATAATGTTGTGAGTTTCATGTTTACTGTTTACAGGTTACAAGTTTTGCTCTTCTTTTCTTTTTTTCTTTATAAAAAACAAACAAACAAAGCAAAAGCAAAAACTTGTTTGGTGCACAAAAATGTTTTGAAAACAAACGATAACAAAAATAAGAAAACATGCTTAGTGAGTTGCTGAAGGTGGTGACTAAAACATGCTTAGTGAGTTGCTGGAGGTGGTGACTGGCGGTGGAGAGTGGACGGATGTGGTGTTGTAGTGAGCCGTAGGGGTGGCCAGAGGTGGCCGCCAGAGGTGGCTGCCAGAGTGTCACAAGGGCGGTCAGAGGGCTGCCGAATGTTTGTCGGAGGTCATGGACAGTTGCCGGAGGCAGCAGTGGGTGGTGGCAGGAGGGGGGGGGGGGGGGGGCGGGGGGGGGGGGGGGTTTAACAGAAAGTGAGAGTGAAAACACATTTTTTTCATTTCCAAAATTTTTGGAACCAGTTTCATTTTTTTAAATATATATATATACCAAATAAGTTTTCATTTTCAGTTTTCAAAAAAGATGAAAACAAAAACAGAAAACAAGAAATGGAAAATTTACCAAACAAGACCTACCTCTGTAGTGTATATGCCCAGCTGTTAACCACATCTTCAAGATAAGCCATTTGTGATAAAAGACGAATAAATTGATATCTATCCTTCCCAGCCTGAATTTTAGCATTAATCTCACCAGCTAGGAGCTCCAAAACCTTCCGAACCTCAGAGGAAACTTCTCGAAGTGAGGTGTACATGCCTCGGTAGGCTGATAAACCAACAGCAATTAGGCCTCTAACTAAACCAGATATTTCTTTGCTCTTAATATTGCTGGAGCTACAAGCAACGGCTACTTTCTCTGATGAGTTGTTAGGACGAATGATACAAGAATTGAAAGGCCAGCCCTTCCAAGGTCCATTTATGTCGGCACATGGACCTTCTTTTAACTTGGATGTGACCCAACAAAGTTCTGCAAAATGGGGATATCTCAGAATTTGGAAGCAGAACGTAGATATTGCCAACTGCAAGCTTGATTTCCCTTTCAGAGATCTGTTTGGTGGGCATGAAACCTTCGTAACAAAATTCTCAGGAAATTGTGTTGTCTCATGTTCATTGGCTGGTTCGGGACCCATGCCATGACACGTTTTATTTGCATCATCTTCAATGGGATCACAACTTTTGTTCTCCATGCATGAACTTGAACGGACATGAGTTCTTTGATGAATCAACTGAACAAATTGTTGGATTAAATCCTTTGATAACTCTATTGCAGATGAATTTATTACAGTCTCACGGTTGACATTCCCATCAAGGTCCACAGAGAATCGGGGTATTGTCTCTTCCGAAGGGGTTGAAAGACCGCAATCCAACATCTCACTCTTGAAGAACTGCCTTATTCTAAGAGGGAGGACAGGGAATGGCATTTCCGAAGTAGCCTGTTCAGATAGAAAATTAAAAATAATTCAATCAACTGTCAACAGAAATTATGACCTAGCAAGAAAAAGAGAATAACTTCAGAAGCCATGGCACCAGCAGGACTTGAGATGACATAAAATGCTATTGAAAAAAAAGGAAAATGCAAGGACATAAATTATGAGCATGTACATCACAATTACTGCTTCAAGTGTAGCATTGTTAAAATTTAACACGTAATGATATAAATATTGAATAGATCAATCATTAATATACAAAAAAAATGTAGCTTCTAAAATGCATAAGGTGCATCAATTCCATTTCTACAAGTCTCACCCTTGACTTGGCCTTTCAAAACTTAAATTGTGAGCCAACAAAAGCTCCAACAAGAACCAGCCATATGGTGTTCTAATTCCAGCCTCTTTTCATTTCGAAGTGTAAAAATAAATTAATCAAAATGTTTCCTCATAATATGAACCCTATACTCAAGATCATGATTCAGATTCAGGAAAACTCAAGCAACTAGCTCGTGTTTACTCTACTGATTTTTCAGAACACATTTTCAGGACACACATCAGAACAAGTGAGGCAGCCCCAAAAGATATCAAGTCCAAAGAAAATAAGAATACAAAAAACATTGAGCACATCCAAAGGAAAGAAACTGAAAAGTAACCAGAGGCAGAATTACGCACTTAGGTCACTTTTGTTTCACAGTGTAGGAGGCCGGATTGGACTAGCAATGCTGTGGGTCCCACCCACAGGGCGTTTGGTGATGGTTTGGGTGAGCGGCTTCATACTCCAAGCGGCTTGCTAATCCCCCTACCGATCCCCCTTGGTAGGGAGATTAGCTTGGATGAATTTTTGGTGAGATTAGGAAAATAGTGAGAGGATTGAGTCTATTTTATATTAAAAAAAATATATTTTTTTATTTTTATTTTTTTTTACCAAGTGCACGTGTTTGTTTTGATATTTGTTTTAATTTTTTTTAATATAAAAATAATTTATTTATTTATTTTATATAAAAATAATTTAACAATCCCATTACTAACCATCTCTCACACTATCATCAAAACAAACACACTTTTACTTAATCCCCTCTCTAATAATCCTCCACATAAACAATCTCTTCACTAACAATCCTCTCACTAACAATATCATCCAACCTAATCCGCCAAACAAACGTTGCCTTAGAGTATGGTTACTTGATCCCACTCAAATTTGAAAATGTTTAGGGTAATTCAATTTTTTCCACAAGTTTCAGATGTTGTAAAAATGACCCCACTAAGATTTATTGAAAATCAAGGTATGGGGACAATCCAAAAGTGGCATAATAGTTTCATAAAATACAACCTTTTTTTTCAACCTACTGTCCTAAGATAATGTTACCCATTTTAAAGCTTACACATAATTCTGTCATGGTCTCTGTGCGTGGGTGCGTGTGTGTGTGTGTGTGTGAGAGAGAGAGAGAGAGAGGAGATTCATCAATGCAATTGTCATCTTCATTAGTTAATACATACCAAGACACTTGCAAGGTACAATTTTGTAAGATACAATTTTGTCTCAGTTGAATTATTTGAAGAAAATCACTTTTATAGAATCAGGTAGTTTCTTGAACTCAGGACACTTGCAAGGTACCCACCCCCACCCATTACAAATCATTTGAATTTTCTCCAAGTATGAGTATATGACATTAGTGATTTTTAACTTATATATTTTCTTACACATGTTAAGGATATGTTTGAATAATTAAATAAAAAATATATTTTTATGGATATAGTTTCTCACTAATATATTTTCTTATCATTGTTCCACCAACCAAAAAAGAGAAAAAAAATTAGCTTCTTTTAGTTCATTTCCTTTTCCTATCTTCTCTTTTATTTTATTTTCCCTCTGCAAATCCAAGACCCAGTCACAACATAAAGTACATATCCTGTCTCAAGCAGAGTAAATATGACAATATTATTATCTCACAATGTTGTCATAAATTTGTGAAAAATGATAATTTGTTGCAAATTTAATTTACATACAACCATTTTTCCAATTTCATATGAAATTAAAATGCTAAGATAGTGTGAACTTCTACATTTTATTAAAGGAAGAACTTATGGATAATTAGTTCTTACTTTGACCCCCATTTTATAAAAAACCTGACTCCAGAATGTAAATACAAATTTTTTACACAAATATTCATCCATATAGACACATGTTTGTAGAGAGATATGTAATGACCTATACCAGCATCAGTACAACACATAAGTAGAAGAAATCAAAAGACTTTATAAGTTGTATACTGTGTTAAAAAATTTGAGCTTAGTAAAATAAAATGGAAAACAAGGAAAGGTAGGTAGCCTTACCAGAATCATCAAAGATGTAGACACACACATGGACTCCACCTGCTCAACAAATGAGCTCCAGATATGTGACGTTTTCTTGGAAGCATCTTGAGAGGCTTCCGTCTCTGATAATTCACATAACTGCTCACAGGAATGGTTTTCCTTTTCAACAACTTGACTGTGCTTCACAGAAGACATGTCCTCAGACAATTCAGGGTCTGTTAAAGAGGAATCACTTTCCTCTCCATCAACTTGTGTACATGTCTCTATGGCCCACAAATCAATTCTCGGCATGAATATCATGCAGGAACCTAGGCTAGCACATCTCACTGCCACAAATTAATAAATGGATATTTTTTAGTATCCTCGTAAATATATCATGAAATCGTAATTACAAATTCATGCAAATATCTCGTTCAAACAAATTAGGTATTACTTGAGAGATCAACAGAAATGGTAAAAAAAATCAACAGCATTGTAATAATCATCAACCTTGGAAAATATCATAAAATGAAAAAAATAACAACAAGAGATTTATTCTAAAAATATTTTTTCTCAACTTCAAATCAATTCAAAAAATCACCAACAAAACAACATTGCGATAAACACAACCTGTATGCAAACGCTGCATATAAAACCAATGATAAGAAAACTGATTAAAAATGGAGATTAATAAAGAGGGTTGAGGAAATAAAATATAAAAGAGCCTATATAAAGCAAATAGTACAGAGCATTAAAACTAAAGAAAATGTAGATGCCACATGAAAGGAAAATAAACCATAAAAAGAAACACTAGAACAGGTACTAAGCCAATTTCAAAATCAACAATTAAAATTTATACAACATCAAAAACAAAAGAATAAAGACAAAAAGTAACCTTGACATACAAAAATTCAAAAACATATGTTGTAAGCAATACTGTCCATTGTAAGCACCATCCTTTAAAAAGATATATGGAGAGAGTTGTTGAAAGGACAAAAGAATACAATTCAATAGGTAATGACTCCCAAAAATATATATATTAGCGGTGGACAAAACTAAAGAAAGTTCATGGTCTTGCAAATCAAGTTTAAGAAATTAAATCACAAAACGCTACAGCCATCAATTGCAAGGAAGATTTAGTCAGGAATTTTTTTTCAGTTCATAATTAAGACGAAGAGCCAACAGGATTGACTAGTGCATGAGCTAAGAAGACCATTCCCAGTAGCGTTCCTATCTATTGAACATTTTGCCATTGACATGATTATTAAGAAATAATTATGGTAGCCGCACAATAAACAGGAAGCAAGCAAGAGTTTAATATACTTTCTTGGGACATCCTCTAAAAGCTTAAGCTTTTGGGACAATTGATTACCTAACATGATATCAAAGTTTCACCCAAAAAAACATGATACCAAAGTTTTGGTTCCATGAGACATCACTTTAAACCTTGCTCGTGTAATTGCCACTACATTTGTTTGTGCACTTTGTTTCCTGTCTATTTGTGCTCCTGGTTCAATATAATTTATGTTTTAGTCACAAGCAGGAAAGGATCACACATGGGGATGAGGGCAGGTGTGAGAGCTTGATATACACAGTCAGGTCATTACCTAACATCCTGAGTTTTGGGGATATACTGCCATCAATAAATAATAAACTTAGATGCATTTATGCATTATCACAATTAGAATGATAAAATGTGGTTATAAATTGGGTGTTTAACATGAAAGTTCATGAAAAGTCAGATCAGACCAACTGACCTATCCAAATTGGTCAAAATTCGACCATAAAGTTAAAATATTTAGCAAAAATTAGAAAATTTGGAATTCAGATTTCTGGGAAATATGGATTTTTAGTATTTTACATTAAATTGACGAATTTCTAGAAACTCGATTGACATTCAACAAAATTTGGTCAAAATATTAAACATTCAAACTTTTCAAATCTGGCCATAAATTTGGAAACTCAGAAAATTTTGGACTCAAGATATGTTCACCAAATTTGATGTATGTAAATCTACGTTCTTATATAACCATTATGTAAAATAATCAGGAAAAAAGAAAAAGCTTTAGGTTTACAAAATCTCCTTCTAATGGGGAGTGGATGGAAAGTGGAAGCTAAATTTACGATAACATAAGGCATATCGCAACCTAAATAAATAACCCTATGTTGTTCCCACAAAACCAGCTGCTCAGAAGGGTAGACTGGTATTTTTTGCACAAAGTGGCTACCCTCATATTCACACGTGTTCTCACTCACGCCTGGCAACCCCGGATCTTACAACTACCACAAGCAATGGCCACAGGGACCCTATCATTCAAAAACTGGGGCCCCTATTTTTGATAAGCATAGCATCTCAAAATCAGTTAGAACAAGGAATTTATGAAGAAGCTGAGGACAAGTTCTACAAGTTACTCCATCCAAATCTTTGATGTTTTGTAAAAACGTGTAGCTTATGCATTGAATTCTACTAATATCAACAATAAGAATATATAGAATTCTTTTATTAACAAAGTCCACTTAAAGTAAATTTATAATTTCTATTATAAAAATTATTCTATACTAAATTATCCAAACCCAAAACTAAGCTTTTGACAACATCATTAACCCATCCTTTTTGTTTAATTACCACCAATCCTCCTCAAGGTTAAGATATCAGCTTTTCATGCCTCATGTATGTCAAAAAACTGGTGACTTCAGTTCAGTTACTTGGGGGAAAGAGGATTTTGTGTTGACAAATGAAGCAAGTCATACAAGTGTCTCTTCCAATAACAAGTGAGCAGCATCCAGAGAAAGAGAAGGTGCCAAAGAGGCATAACAACAATTACTTAAGGGAAGAGCAAAAATTTGGATATCAGGAAACCAAGACATAAATAGAGCATGGCACAGTAAAAGCAATCAAATAAAGGTACAAAACTCTAAAACTTAAAATACCAGATTTCACACACACTAAACTACAATAAGAATAGAAATCAATCATTTAACTACATAAGCAGAATGCATCATAGAAACATTTAACTAAGGCAAAAGCAAAATTTTGGGTATCAAGAAACCACGATGTAAATACAGCACAGTGAAACCAATCAAATCAAGGTTCAAGACTCCAGAAATCAAAGCACTAGGTTTCACACTGGCTAAACTACAATAAGAATAGAAATCAATCATTTAACTACATAAGCAGAACACACTGTTGAATGATCAATTTGATTAGTAAGGCAAAATTTTACTGTCATGACTCAAGCTTTAATACAAAACAGTCAATGGAACTGGAGCTTTGATACATAACACTCATCATAAGGGCATCCATCCATCCTTGCAAGAACAGCCTCTTTACTTTCTCCAAAGTGCCTAGAATTATGTTACAGGGACACCTCAAAATGCATAATCAAACTCTGTTGAACACAACATGACACTGATACTATCTTAATATGTTCATTTTCCTGACATATTGAGACTTTGAGATGAATGAGGTACTCATATTAAGTGCCTGTAAGCTAAGAACACAAGTTTTACCCTAGGGTATAGGAGAACAAAAGTTGGAAACTCTTGGATTTGTGGAGGAAAAAGAAAAAGGGAAGGGAAAAGTGAATGAAATAGAAGCAAAATTTTTCCACAAATTTCTTCCCTTTCCTCTTCCCTTCACAAATCCAAGATCCAAACACAACATTAGTGTTATGTATCCTTGTGTCCAAAGGTTTATAAATTCGATGGATCCTTCACCAAGAGACCCCATTTTTGTCGAGTTCCATTAAACATACACCTATATCAACTAGAAAGATAGGAACCATGTAAGATGCACAAAGTGTGTCATGTAACAATGGATGTATTGATTGGTAAATGAAACTGAATAAAAATCCAAGTTATTCAGAATCATGCATCTAGAAGACAAGATGAAGAAAGGAAACATACTTAATATTCGAGTTACTCCTTGAGTTACGTCTCCGTGTCCTTCTTGTGAAATTGTAGCCAAATCAACCTTTTGGATTTCCACATTCCCAACAAAGCAGTGGAGAAGGCAAGAAGCAAGATACCTCTGGCCAGATCTGGGGCTTCCAGAAATCAGCATGCGGAATCCTAACTTCTTTCCTGATGCATAAGATATATTCTGCAACAAACTAGGGCGAGTACCTATTTGCTGCACTTTTGGATATTTGAACTTCAAACTGTCATCATTAGTACCCTCACCCCAATCATCAGAATTGGAATCACTAGCCTGTCCAATTAAAATGCCACCACGTGAAAGGTTAATCTCAATCTCCCTCAAAACATCTGCTTCTTGAAGCAAGTCATGAACACGGAACCACCAATGATCACTCGGCACTTTCTCCTTATCCAAAGCAGAAACAATTACACTTTTGACAAGTGTGGCAGCTTTATAAAGATGAGGAGGCAACATGAGACGTTCATCAAGATAAAGGGCAACAAGCAATCTGGACAGTGGTTGCCGCAGACAAGGAATAAGATGGCTGCGAAGAGGTGAGGATACCACATCATTTGCAGCCATCTGCTCCCCGTTGAGAGGATGGAGGTGGTGCACATGCAAGAGCCTCCAACCAATCCCTCTCCTCCACCGCAAAGCTGGGAAGAGGAGGACGTTTACCATGAGAAACTTTCTTTTCAGCAGCAGACAATATTTCTTGCAGGGGGCAGTTCCTCCTCAGGGCAATAATGGCTGCTTGGGTACAAAGAGCCTGCAGATCAGCACCAGCAAAACCTACAGTTCTTCTAGCAATCCAATTGAGCACTGATCCAGTGACTGGCTTTGGCCAACTTTGTGTGTGAAGCGAGAGAATAGCTGCTCTGTCCTCAACTGACGGAAGTGGGAAATAAATCTCCCTATCAAATCTACCAGGTCGTCTTAAAGCTGGATCAACAGCATCAGGACGATTTGTTGCGCCTATTACTACAACTGAGCCTCTAGATTTTAAACCATCTAATAGAGCAAGCAAGGTGGAAACAACTGAATTATGTGTCTGATCTTGCTGCCTAGTGCGGCAAGGTGCCAACCCATCAATCTCATCAAAAAAAATTATAGATGGTTGAGATTTCTCAGCAACCTGAAACAAAAGTCTTAGCTGGCGCTCAGCATCACCGACATATTTTCCTAAACAATCTGCTCCTTTGCGAGCAAAATAGGCTATCCGTTTATCACCACGAGCACAAGAACCAATTAGCGCACGCACTACTAACGTTTTACCTGTTCCAGGATAGCCATGCAAAAGAACACCCCTAGGTGGTGTAAGTCCCATATTACTAAAGAACTCAGGATATAACAATGGTAAAATAACAACCTCCTTCATGCATCGGATGACGTCTTGAAGCCCAGCAACAGATTCCCAACCCTGAAATTGTTTTTCATTTTCAGAGTTTGAGCCTCCAATGTACACAGGTGCAATTCTCAACAAATCACGATGTAGCCTCTTGCTCTCACGTTTCAAAAATTCTTCATCCTCACCACAATTCTCTAGCCATTTTTCTTCTGCTTCAACATCCTTCCGCCAAGCATCATTTGACAGCTTTCTCATTTCCAATTTCATTTTCTTAGTTTTCATTTTCTTTACCTTGTAAAAATAATGACTTCCCTGAGGTTGGAAGAGATACCGATGATCTGTGCAGGCTATGAGAAATTTGCGATGATCAAAAATGCAACCATTAGCTCGTGCACAAGGCTGCAAAGAGGGCACAAGCCAAAAAATGAGGATATCAAAACCCATAAGTTTGAGAAAGTTGACTTGAAACTCCATGCTACAAAGATGACCGCAAAAGAAAGGAAAGAATAAAAAGAACAAGAATAAAGAATGCTTTATAATAAAAAAGATGTCGGTAACCAACCAAGTGGTATGTTTTTGTACAACGATCAACACGGCATCCAATTGTTGCCCCTCGCCTCCCGCAGCGGGTGCATTTCAATACTCTTCCTCTGCAAAGAGCTGCCCTAACATTTTTTAAGCATCCCAAACCAGCAAAATAAACCTGAAAAACACAACAAATCAGAATGAATGTTGACTGAAGCGAAACCAAAAGAAACAATAATGTAATTGAAGTGTAAATCAATTCAGGTGGTAAAATTCAAATCACAATTAGCAAGTATACTAAAAAATGTGTCAAAATTAGCTGTTAAGATTGTTTCTTACTTCCTAGTAACAAGGCCGATCATATAGCAAGACTCAAGATGGTATTATGTTGAACCCTGATAATCTTATGAAAACACAATATCAGTAAAACATAATAAAACAAGCACTAGGCCCACCTAGATCTAAGCTAACCAACTCAAATAAAAACAAAGAACTAACCGATATCTTCATCAGAAGAAATTCATTTTAAGCAGACCATTAAGAAAATAATGCAACGAAAAAAACAAAAGGAACACAAATTGTAAACTCCAAAGTTTAGCAGAAACTTCAATAGTACAAGTATCTTGATATAAAAAGATGGCATTTTTAAAGAAAAAGAAAATGAAAAATTCAAAAGGAAATCCCTCTCTCCATCCCCCATGCATCTCCTTTGAATGTGGGGTAACGAGGGCTTGAGGAAAATAGAAACCATGACAGCTACCAACAGTAATAAGGACAATCAAGACTTTGGCATGTACATGTAGAATTTGACCAGCTCAAGTGACTCTAGAAGTGATAGACCACAGTGACCAGCAAGATAGACAATAAATATACAGCTCAGGAAAAGGAATCAATTTAATGTGAATGAGAATCTAAGTATGTGCACTCTTCCTAAGAACTTGCTGAACCATGAAACACTAATTCTTTCAGAAACTCCAGCACCTACAAGAAAATATCTATTTCCTATGGGCCACCCAACGGCAAGTATTTACTCTATCCCAATTACTAAACTCAAACCCTCCAAAAAAAGATTTCCTGTCACAAGCCCTGGAGGTAGTAATACTCAGATTCTTAGTGATACACATTAAGTTGCTAACAATCATTAAAGACTTAGTTGCTATTTTCCACAGGACTACAAATTTACAACCATGATTCATGCCACCAATAGTGCCATCACCTCATCGTCAAGAGAGGCTTGAGGTCAGTAAGGGTGACTAGGTGCGATTTGGAGCCACCTTTGGTGTGGTGAGGAAAGGCTTGAGGTGGCTTTCCCTTCTCTAGCTCGTATAGCAATCGATAGGAGTGCACTGGTTGCAGATTATTTAAATGTAGAAGGGCAGCAGATCTTTTGAGACATTGCTTTTCACAGGCAGCTTCATGACTGGAAATTGGAGAGTTTGCGGAGTTTCTGGGCTGCTTGTATGTTTTGCATGGCATAGGGGGTGAGAAGAATGGGATGAGATGGTTGGGAGCCAAGTCTAGGAAGTTTGAAGTGAAGTCTTATTATGACATGTTGGTGGATAATATGCTAGGAATTTCCTGCGGAGGGTGTTTGGGGATCGAAAGTTCCCCCACTAAAGTAAGCATTTTTTGTGTGGATGGCAACTCATGGGTAGATCCTCACCATTGATAATTTAAGGAAGAGTATACAAGTCCACATAAATTGGTGTTGTTTGTGCAAGAAAGATAAGGAGTCCATTAGCCATCTTCTTATTCATTGTGAAGTAGCTCATGATCTGTGATCTTTGGTTCTTGATTTGGTTTAGGTTAGCTGGGTTCATCCTAAGGATGTGGAGGCTCTCCTTCTCTTGGAGTGGTGCTAGGGTGGGTAAACACAAAAGGAAGGCCTAGAAATTTGGTGCCATTGGTTCTCATGTTGATCATTTAGAGGGAACAGAACAACAAGAATGTTTGACAGGATGGAGGCGCTCGTCTAAGATTCAAAAGTTCTTTTTTGTCTATATTGTACAGTTGGTTCTCAGATGGTTCAGATCCCTCTTTGAACAAATTTCTGGACTTTTTACAGGTTTCTCATTAGCCTAATTTTGATTGTATAGGTTGATGGAGTTTTCTCATTACACTCCAACATAACCACCATTTCAGATCGTACTCATTACTCGTGCATGATATGAATATTTATCAACAAAAAAAAACGTAATGCATGATATGAAAATTATATAAAGACAAAGCATGGATGAGTAAAATGTGAACTCCCTGGGAAATACAAGGTCAATAATAAAGCTGCATCTTAAGTCCTTCCCTTTTTCTTTTTCTTTTTCTTTTTTTTTTTCTTTCTTGGTGCTGCACAGTTTAGAAGTGTCAAGTTTTTTTTTATAAGGCACAAAAAACAAAATAAAGGGGTGGCATCCTTGGAAAACTACAGATGACAAACAATGCATGCTCATTCTTTGCCAGTTTGGAACAAGAAATTCTAGCAATCAGCATATTTCTCATGCAATCAAGCCAAGTAATGTAAAAGCAAATAAAATAAGAAGGTAGTTGGTGAATAAACCACACCTCTGGACTCCATACAGCACAATGTTGATGAACCCAGATTCCAGCAATACCATATCGATCATTTATCGGACCCAAGAGGCGCCCAAGCCAGCCAGGTTCATCGCCAAATCCATCCCATGTGTCATAGTTGGGTTCCTCAGATGCTGACGATCCACTATATCCCTCGTGATCACTCCCAGCTCCATCCTGCACTAATTTCTTCGGAGGTTTCCCACCAGTCCCTGTCCCACACAAGCCACATCTTCTCCCCTCTCTTACACGCAGCTTTCGAAGTGTATCACTTGAAGCACGATCCATCTTATCAACCTTCTCAACATTCTCATCTTCCAAAGGTTTCTCGTGACATCCTCCATCTTTCACTTGGTCAGTAAGAACTCCGCCAGCTTGTACAGAATCCCCTTGATTTTCTCCCTCCTTCACAGATTCTGGTGTTCCCACCTGCATATCCTGTTCCACTCGTTCCACATGGTCATCGCCAATGCAATCTTCACTCTCCTCTTTCTCGACGAATTGTGTGGTATTACAGTCATTACCTTCATGCTCACTTCCATATCCATCTCCACTCTTTGAGAGCAATGGATCATTCTCAATGTTCTCATCATTGTCCTCTAGCACCTCCACCTCATTCTTTTCTTTATGTTCCTCCTTTTCTTTATGTTCCTCCACCTCATTCTTTTCTTTGTCTTCCTCCAGCTCATTCTTCTCTTTTTCACGCTCCTTGTCAGAACACAACTCAATCTCATGCCGTGCATTCCTCAAAAAATTCGAAGCTTTAATTCTCCCGGGCCTCTTCGACCTAACAACCGTGGACATACCACCTTCCAATCCCTCCACTTTATCTTCCAATTCTCTATCCTTCACCTTGACTTCTTCACTAAATTCATCCAAATCCTTAAAAAGCTTCCTTTTACCTCTCGGCGAAAACCCCCCTTTTCCTCTCCCTCCAAAGCTTACACTTCTAGCCCTAGATCTCAACCTAGACCTCCAACTACCAGGTTCTTCCTCCACATCCCTCGATGTCGAACACAGCGGCTCATTCTCTACCCCATCTTCCCTCTTTCCCCTCCCAACAGAATCAATTCCACTCATTTTATCAAGTCTCTTCCGCTTCTTCGCGGGCGGGGGTGAGGCATCAAGCACCACCGGAGCTTTCCTGACCCTCGTACTCCTCCGGAGCTCTGATTCATTCCCAGCCGACCCACACTCATTTGATTCAGTCCTCACACCCCTGTGGTTTTGATTATACGCTTTCTCACATATCGCATCGAGCCTCTTATGCTTTTTTCGAGTCCTCAAACTACCCAATCGCTGATTCCTCCTTCGCTCCGAAACCGAGACGGACCGCGACAATCGCATGACAAGAACAGCCAATATATGTTTATATTTATATGTATATACACGTTCGTATCGAGAAAATCAACAAATGGGTATTGAACAGAGTCCTCGTCTCGTCAATTGGAGTTGCGTAAACTTGAAAAAAAATAAGAGAGGAAAACATCGAAGGAGTAGTACTCACTGGACCTTGCGATCGCTGTGTTCCATCGTTTGATCACGATTGAATGAAGAGAGAGAACGAAAAAACCCTAGAAATCAACGGGGATATGAAAGCTTCATTGACAATCAGTACTTTGGCTTTTGCTTTTTTCGAGTCTTCCGTGAAGATTGGGAGTCGAGAGTTCTCGCTTTTGTTGTTGAGCTTTTCTCTCTCTCTCTCTCTCCTCTTCTCTCTCGCTCTTTCGCTGTTATGAGGAGACGACTAGGGCGGAGGGGTAGCGAGAGAGAGGGGTTCACGCTACGTTACGGTGTACTGTATGTACTACAGGGTTTTATTTTTTTACCACGATTTCCATCGTGCGGTTGTGATGAGAGATGGTGAGTGTGGGCCCAAAAGAGGGGGGCTAGATTGTTGACACGTGGAAGTAGGGAAGGTTTTTTCTATTTGTTTTCCCACCAAGCGTTACCGCCTAAATTTATATTGTTGTTTGAGTTTTCTATGTGACAAAAATCATGAAAATACACATACAAAGAGATGTGTTGAGGATTGGTCATGCAAGGGAGGAACTAGTAGGGGGGGCTACAAGTGAAATATCTAATTTGAAATAGTGTGCTTTTGTGTGGGCCATTTGTATAAGACTTTTATCCAAAGATTTTATCACCATATTAGAATTTTTCTTTATATTTTTTTAATGACAAACATCTCTCGTTGGTTCAAGTTTTCTCCCACTATGTGTGTTGATGTTCTGAATAAATTGGCCAATTCTATATCTTTGGACTTTTATTGGAGTATATTTATTTTTTATTATAATTTTATTCTAACATTAAATCTTAATTTTGTCCTGATCTCTAATTTATATAATCCTAGCATCGTTCTGTCCCATTGCATCTCATCTTACCCTAGCCACCATCAATTACAATTGTCGCTCTCATCCTCTATTCTTAGCTTGGGTGACCTTCTCTCAACCATTTTCATCCTTTTTGTCACTTCTCAAACGCCGTTCTCAACTTTCCTTATTAGACATTTTTTTCTTACTTTCTTTGTCTCGTTCCTTTAGCTAATCTCTCTTTCTCTCTCTCTTTCATTCACATCTCTTTTTTTTGTTGTTCTCTCAATTTAATGGGAAAGAGGTTAGGGTTTTGTCAAAAAGGAGAACGAAAATAAGAAAAATATAATGAAGGACGAGGAAGAAACAAAAATGGATGGGAATTGGGGTTGTTGGATAGGGGAAAAAAATATTGATAAAAGTGGGGCAAGGTTGCAATAGAGGCTCTCTCACTTTAGTAGGAAATGGGTTGGGGTTTTGTTTGAGATGAAAATGAGAAGGAGAAAAATATAAAAGACAATGAGGAGAAGACGACAATAGGTAGGGATGGGGGTTGTCAGATAGGAGAAAGAGAGACTAGAGAGAGCAGTTTGGGATTACAGTGGAGACTTTTTCTCTTCAGTGGACGAGGGGTTAGCATTTTATGAGAATAATAAAAAGGTAAAAGATTATGAAAACAAGACGACAATAGATGCGGATAGAGATTGTATGGTAGGAGAAAGATGGGCAAAGACTAGGGATGGCAACGAGGCGAGCCGTGCTCGGGGATCACTGTCACGACCCAAACCCGGCCCTATGGGTTTAGCACCGTAACCGGCCAGTAATCCGAGATTACCGAAGGCCTGCTTAACGGTAATATAGTAAAACAGAGTACAGGGCCTGGCGGAAGCCAATACAGTAATTAAACAATGCCCAATGAGCTGTGACAGTCTGTATGCCAAAAAGATTTTTCATGCATTCATACATATACAAACAGTACAGTCTATACAAAATTTACAGTCACACAGTACAGGGACCTAATCCCTTGATAACAGTACAGTTAGCAACTGACATGACAAGAACAGCCAATATATGTTTATATTTATATGTATATACACGTTCGTATCGAGAAAATCAACAAATGGGTATTGAACAGAGTCCTCGTCTCGTCAATTGGAGTTGCGTAAACTTGAAAAAAAATAAGAGAGGAAAACATCGAAGGAGTAGTACTCACTGGACCTTGCGATCGCTGTGTTCCATCGTTTGATCACGATTGAATGAAGAGAGAGAACGAAAAAACCCTAGAAATCAACGGGGATATGAAAGCTTCATTGACAATCAGTACTTTGGCTTTTGCTTTTTTTCGAGTCTTCCGTGAAGATTGGGAGTCGAGAGTTCTCGCTTTTGTTGTTGAGCTTTTCTCTCTCTCTCTCTCTCTCCTCTTCTCTCTCGCTCTTTCGCTGTTATGAGGAGACGACTAGGGCGGAGGGGTAGCGAGAGAGAGGGGTTCACGCTACGTTACGGTGTACTGTATGTACTACAGGGTTTTATTTTTTTACCACGATTTCCATCGTGCGGTTGTGATGAGAGATGGTGAGTGTGGGCCCAAAAGAGGGGGGCTAGATTGTTGACACGTGGAAGTAGGGAAGGTTTTTTCTATTTGTTTTCCCACCAAGCGTTACCGCCTAAATTTATATTGTTGTTTGAGTTTTCTATGTGACAAAAATCATGAAAATACACATACAAAGAGATGTGTTGAGGATTGGTCATGCAAGGGAGGAACTAGTAGGGGGGGCTACAAGTGAAATATCTAATTTGAAATAGTGTGCTTTTGTGTGGGCCATTTGTATAAGACTTTTATCCAAAGATTTTATCACCATATTAGAATTTTTCTTTATATTTTTTTAATGACAAACATCTCTCGTTGGTTCAAGTTTTCTCCCACTATGTGTGTTGATGTTCTGAATAAATTGGCCAATTCTATATCTTTGGACTTTTATTGGAGTATATTTATTTTTTATTATAATTTTATTCTAACATTAAATCTTAATTTTGTCCTGATCTCTAATTTATATAATCCTAGCATCGTTCTGTCCCATTGCATCTCATCTTACCCTAGCCACCATCAATTACAATTGTCGCTCTCATCCTCTATTCTTAGCTTGGGTGACCTTCTCTCAACCATTTTCATCCTTTTTGTCACTTCTCAAACGCCGTTCTCAACTTTCCTTATTAGACATTTTTTTCTTACTTTCTTTGTCTCGTTCCTTTAGCTAATCTCTCTTTCTCTCTCTCTTTCATTCACATCTCTTTTTTTTGTTGTTCTCTCAATTTAATGGGAAAGAGGTTAGGGTTTTGTCAAAAAGGAGAACGAAAATAAGAAAAATATAATGAAGGACGAGGAAGAAACAAAAATGGATGGGAATTGGGGTTGTTGGATAGGGGAAAAAAATATTGATAAAAGTGGGGCAAGGTTGCAATAGAGGCTCTCTCACTTTAGTAGGAAATGGGTTGGGGTTTTGTTTGAGATGAAAATGAGAAGGAGAAAAATATAAAAGACAATGAGGAGAAGACGACAATAGGTAGGGATGGGGGTTGTCAGATAGGAGAAAGAGAGACTAGAGAGAGCAGTTTGGGATTACAGTGGAGACTTTTTCTCTTCAGTGGACGAGGGGTTAGCATTTTATGAGAATAATAAAAAGGTAAAAGATTATGAAAACAAGAAGCTTTAATTCTCCCGGGCCTCTTCGACCTAACAACCGTGGACATACCACCTTCCAATCCCTCCACTTTATCTTCCAATTCTCTATCCTTCACCTTGACTTCTTCACTAAATTCATCCAAATCCTTAAAAAGCTTCCTTTTACCTCTCGGCGAAAACCCCCCTTTTCCTCTCCCTCCAAAGCTTACACTTCTAGCCCTAGATCTCAACCTAGACCTCCAACTACCAGGTTCTTCCTCCACATCCCTCGATGTCGAACACAGCGGCTCATTCTCTACCCCATCTTCCCTCTTTCCCCTCCCAACAGAATCAATTCCACTCATTTTATCAAGTCTCTTCCGCTTCTTCGCGGGCGGGGGTGAGGCATCAAGCACCACCGGAGCTTTCCTGACCCTCGTACTCCTCCGGAGCTCTGATTCATTCCCAGCCGACCCACACTCATTTGATTCAGTCCTCACACCCCTGTGGTTTTGATTATACGCTTTCTCACATATCGCATCGAGCCTCTTATGCTTTTTTCGAGTCCTCAAACTACCCAATCGCTGATTCCTCCTTCGCTCCGAAACCGAGACGGACCGCGACAATCGCATGACAAGAACAGCCAATATATGTTTATATTTATATGTATATACACGTTCGTATCGAGAAAATCAACAAATGGGTATTGAACAGAGTCCTCGTCTCGTCAATTGGAGTTGCGTAAACTTGAAAAAAAATAAGAGAGGAAAACATCGAAGGAGTAGTACTCACTGGACCTTGCGATCGCTGTGTTCCATCGTTTGATCACGATTGAATGAAGAGAGAGAACGAAAAAACCCTAGAAATCAACGGGGATATGAAAGCTTCATTGACAATCAGTACTTTGGCTTTTGCTTTTTTTCGAGTCTTCCGTGAAGATTGGGAGTCGAGAGTTCTCGCTTTTGTTGTTGAGCTTTTCTCTCTCTCTCTCTCTCGATTTAAAATATCGATTAATCGCATAGTTTGATTTATTTAAACCGTACCGCCACTTAGTGGACCACTATCTCTTGAACCTTGTATACACTCCACGTATTGATCAAACAAAACATTTTCTTCTCCTCTTCTTGCCTCAACCGACCCAAGTTAGAGAGTGAGAGAGAGTTGAGTTGTTCTTGAGAGATTTGCTTGATCTTGCTTGGAATTGAAGTGTTGATTGTTACTTTGAGCTCCTAGACCTTGAACACAAGACTAAGGTAGGACATTCATCTTCTTGTTGTTGTCTTAGAATTAATTCCTGCAAGATTCATGTTTCAATTGTAGAGTTAAGTCTTGTTTTAGTTCATACATGAAGGATAGAACATAATTCATGCATGCATGTTTGAATTGATGAGTTTTGAGTTGAATTTGAAGCTTAATTGTTGCATGCATGTACATATATTGAAGTTTTGAGGTTGTAAGTCCATGTTTCCTCACATGCATGTCCATCTTTTGGTCATACTCCATGAATTCATCATGTTCTTGAAGAAATGAGTCCATTTGAACAAGCTTTGAAGGTTGAATTTGGTTTGAATCCATGCATGTGCATGTTCTTCATATTTCTGAAAATGGGTTTGAATATGGTTTTAATTGACCACCTTTGGGGCTTGAATTTCATAAAATTGAGCTTTGAAACTTGTGTACATTGAATTTAGTATGTTTTCAGAATTTGGGCCCAAGAGGTCGAGTTGGAGTGGTAGAATGCTTGGTTTGAGCTTGGGAGGCAAATCTGGGAATTCCAGATTTGGCTTCCTCGCTCGAGCGAAGGTTCCCCGCTCGAGCGAGCACCTTTTGTCCAGGGCTCGCTCGAGCGACCATCGAGCGACCATCACGCGCAAAATCTCAGCATCCAGTATTTTACTGTTTTGCAGACCGCTCGAGCGAAGGATGATCCTCGCTCGAGCGAAGCCTTTGATTTTGGACCTACGCTCGAGCGGAGAAAGTCTCGCTCGAGCGAGGCTTCTATTTTCAGCAAAGTTTGCGAAATGTTTTCTAAGTGTATTTTTGCATCCTCATCCCATTCTAGGCATTCTTAGGCCTAGTAAAGGCATCTTAATGAGGATATAGATGTAGAACACACCCAAGGCAAATAGGGATTAAGTTATGATATTTCCCAACTGTGTAGCTTAGTGTGTGTTCAACCTGTGAACTGTGTAGGGTTGGCAACTGGGGAGACACGCTCTAGCATACTGTAGCCCAGAACTCTGTGAGTAACAATTTGTGTAAAGAATATGTTCAACTGATATCTTTTTGAATACTGAACTGAACTGTTTGCCTGAACTGGTATTACTGAATGATGTATGTCCTTTATTTCTGAACTGTACTTGGCATCCTTAGTACCTACTGTTTTACTGTTACTGTTACTGTTACAGAGATCTCTGTCGGTTCCCTCGTGGAACCACTATGTTTACTGACTGATGGCCATCATTACTGTTCGGTTCTTTTAAGACCTACTGTTACTGTTATGCTAATGGATGTACCACATATGACTGTTTACTGTACTGAACAACTGGAATACTGATTGAATTGAACTGTTTTCATTACCGTAAGGACATTCATTCTAAACCCCCTTTAGCATTATGTTATTCACTGGGCTTTAGCTCACTGCTCATATATATATGTAGGTGTACAGGCACCAGACCGCAGCTAGAGGCGTCAAGGTTACTCCAGTTTTGTCAAGCAGCCTTTGTGCTCACTGCGAGGTTCCGAGTTGCCATGCCATGGCTTTGGGTGTTTGTTCGTTTCCCCCGTCTGTCTCCATACTGTTTGGATTACTGTATAGACTTCAGTTGCTAACTGTACTGTTATCAAGGGATTAGGTCCCTGTACTGTGTGACTGTAAATTTTGTATAGACTGTACTGTTTGTATAATGTATGAATGCATGAAAAATCTTTTGGCATACAGACTGTCACAGCTCATGGACATTGTTTAATTACTGTATTGGCTTCCGCCAGGCCCTGTACTCTGTTTTACTGTATTACCGTTAAGCAGGCCTTCGGTAATCTCGGATTACTGGCCGGTTACGGTGCTAACCCATAGGGCCGGGTTTGGGTCGTGACAGAGTGGTATCAAGAGCGATACTTAACCACCGAGTTATACCGCACACACGTTCCAAATGAGCCTATAGGGTGTCCTAGAAAAAGTTATTAAGGCATCTCATGAGCATGATAAGTGTGTGGTTATGTTATGACTAAATACATTTACTGATGTGGTAAACTGTTAAACAAATGACTGCTTATGTTTAAAACTGTTATAATCTGCTTATAGTGAAATGGACAATTGCAAATGAACCTGAGTCCTCATCTACTGAGGCAAGAATGGAAAGAATGGAAAGAATGATGGAACTGATAACTGCTAGACTTGACAACAGAACCAACAGCCTCCTCCTCCTCCGGTACAACCGGAACCTAATGTTAATGTGAATGATGGGGATATAATTGCCCTGACCCAGAAGGTTCAGCAAAATGAAACCGCCATCCTTCCAGGGAGGCTTGAACCGTTAAAAGCTGAAGGCTTGGGTTCTGGAAACAGAAAAACTATTTGAAGTGTTCCCGTGCTCAGAAGCGAATAAAGTACTGTTAGCTACCTTCACCTTACAAGAAGAAGCTAGAAGGTGGTGGATGTGATCCGTGATACAAATACTGTTATGACTTGGGCTCAGTTCAAGGAGTCCTTCTTTGAAAAGTATTTCCCTTCA